GCAGGAGGGGAAGACCCTCTATGAGGTGGATGGATTCGGTGACTGGGGTACTCGGGATGGGTGTGTCAGAGGCAATGAGACTGGCACAGGATAGAGCAGGGTTTAGGGCTGTTGTACATAGGGTCGCTATGAGTCGCAAGCAACTCGACGGCACATAACAACAACAATCTTTCTCAGTCATCCTGTCTTCATTATAGTGGTCTAATGCGGCATTTGTCCTTATGTGGCTGAGTTTCACTCAGCATAATGCTCTCTAGACTTTCCCATGTTACATAGTATTTTATGAAATCATTGTTCCTTAGGGCTGCATAGTATTCCACTACATGAATGTACCACAGTTTCCCTATCCATTCATCTCTGTTTGGGGGCTTGAGTTGTTTCCATTTTCTCGCTATTGTGAACAACAGAATTGTCTTTCTATTATGAACATAGGTGTTTATGTCTCCATTCATGTCTCATGACTTGTTTAGGGTACATTCCTAGCAGTAGAATCACAGGGTCATGTTGATGCACCATTGCTTTTTCTTCTCTAGGAAATATGACCTCAGATAGGAGCTGCAAGCGTTTCTGAACTAGACAGAGAGATTACTGTGCAACAGGGCCCCAGCACTGCACATCACTGAAGTGTGTACGTTAAGGGAATGATTTCTGTATTAACAGTTTAATACAGAATGGTTGCTCCTGTGTGCTGCATAGTATTTCACTGAATGGATGTACCACAAATTCTCAAGCCATTCGTTTTTGGTTGGACACCTGGGCTGTTTCTATGTTCTTGCAATGGTGAATGATGCTGCTATGTACATTGGTGTACAAGTTTCCGTTTGCGTCTCAGGTCTCATTTTCTTGGGATATATTCCAAGCGATGGAATAGATTAGTCATACGGAATTTCTATGTTCATCTTTTGGAGGAAGCACCAAGCTGTCTTCCAGAGTGGTTCTACCATTGTACAACCCCACCAACAATGTAAGAGTTCCTATCTCATCACATCCTCTCCAACATTTATTATTTGCTGTCCTATTAAACATTACCACTGCTACTGGAGTGCAGTGGTATCTCGTTGTGGTTTTGATTTGCATCTCTTATTGCCAGTGATTTGGAGATTTCTTCATGTGTCTGTTGGTCATTTTAATATCTTCCTCTGTGTAAATTCTTCCCATGTCTTTTGCCTATTTTGTAATGGGTTATCAGACTTTCTCTTGTGGAGGCCCAGGAATATTCATTCTATAAACTCTCACTACTACCTAACTTGGGAGGGACTGGAGAGCATTATGCTGAGTGAACTAACTCAGTTCTACAAGGACAAATACTGTATAAAAATCATTATTATAAAATGAGTATGAGGATCCAAGGCAGGGGGGAGGGTGGAAAAAGAGGGGAGTGGATTGATGGGGGTAGGGTGTTAATCATAAGGTTGCACAATTCGACGGGTGGGTGAGGTGAAGGAAAAGGGAGAGATCTTTTGTGCAAAACAATGTATTCAAGCTTTGTAAATAAATCAGAGTAACATAAAAGAAATAAAAAATGAGAAAAAGAGTTTAATACAAAAAAAAGAGAGAGAGAAGGAATACATTTGGATTTAGTAGGGGACTATGCCAATCCCCAAAGTGGTTCGAAGAACTTACATTTGCAATGTTAAGACTGGCGCTGATGTTGAAATGGTTCTCAAGCTGTAGGGAGGTATAGATGCCTTTGTTTTCTTTGCAGTCACTGTGGGAAGAAACAGAGCAGTCAGGATCCCAAAGGGCAGGTGTGCCTCCTCTGCCCACTGCCAGGGATGAAGAAGAGGGCCATCTGGTCTTCTGAGTTTGTTCAGTGAGCTCAGAAGAGGCACAGAATAGCAGGGTCATGCAGACGTGTCATTGCTTCCGCTTCTGGAGGAAATAGAGCTTCAGATAGGAACGGAACACATTTCAGAACAAGACAGCATGATTGTCGTACTAGACAGCCCTGTCACAATGTGGATGGCGTCTCTGGATGACAATGTGGCTTTGTCAACAGCCTACACCACCCTCCCACCACCCCACCCGCCGCCTCTTCCCTACTGAGCTGACAGGTCTGTTTGGGGCACAGACACAATGCCATGGTTGTTAGGTGCCATAAGTCCCTCAACACTGCCTAACAACTCCATGCACAACAGAGTGAAATCCTACCTGATCTCCTGCCATCCTCATAATCTCCACCATGCTTAAACCTCCACACATTGCAGCCACTCTGTCAACCCATCATGATGAGAGACTTCTCTCCCGAGCTGACCTCTCCAAGCACGCTGTCCTTTCCCAAGGTCTGGCCCCTTCTGATAGCGTGTGCAAAGTATGTGAAATGAATACACACACTGACAACACTCGCCATCATTTCATTCCCTGCACTGTTGTCAATAACCACCTTTCCAAAATGAGGGGAAAAAAAGAAATTCTAAAGAGAAAATATGTTCTAGAAAGAGGTGAGCTATAAAGCACATACTGGGCTCTATTAAGAGATCTCACCAAGCCCCATCAGAACCATTTCTCCTCCATATTCCCAAGGTTGAGCTTGACTTAAAATGTGGATAGCTGTGTGTTCTAATTGGGAGCACCTGACTTGGGCTATATGTAGTGTACTGAGTTTGTTGGGTGCAAAATAGCTTTCATAGGGTATCACCTCTGACTTCCATCCCATCTGACTTCCACCCCATGACTGGGTGGAAACACATCAACAGGGTGTGTAGTCTATCCATGAAGGAATTGGCCAGTTTTTCTATTCCACCAGGTTTAAATTGATCAGGTTCAGCAACAGGAACTGGGAATCTCCCTATCAACAAGGAAGACATTAAGAATGCAGGGCACAGCCTTCAGGGCCAGCGCTTCCAGCTTCCGTCACACCAGGGCCTACACAAGAGCAGCAGAAACAAAGAACCAGAGGCCAACAAGAGTCTGGGCCAACCAGGGACAGCTGCCTCATTCGTCCTTAGTCATATGATACTTCAAACATTTGGAGAAGAGTTGTCTCCCTTGTATATGTACAGATGTCATCCTACCCCTGACAGCGCTGTATTTTGGGCAGACCTTGAAATGTTCTTTTTGACAATGAATGTGACTTTATTTCTCCTCTCCATGTCCTTGCTGGCATAGTAGGTCATATGCGTGTACAGATGACAATCATCAACACTGGTCCAACTCAGCTCACTAATGCCTAGACTATTGATCTCTACACATTACATTTAATTTTTTACAAATTCCAATTAGCCTAAATTCATACTTCATATATTCTACATTGCAATGATTAATGTGTATTTGCAACTGTTTCTCCTCATCTGAAGTCATGTCATAACAGCAAGTCCTTCATTGGCTGAAAGGCTTACTCCCCCCACTTCATTCAAAGTAGACTCTGCGTTGGGGGACTGCTCTTCTTCGGCTCACTCTGAATTCCTGCCAACCTGAGGGGTTTCCCTCCAGGCACTAGAGCAGACAAGATTCTGCTGCTAGTCAGAGGGGTTTGAGGATAATGATTTTACGAGTGAAAGGACAATCCTGCTTCCTAACGAGTCCATCTTAGTCTGGGATGCTCCACTGAGACCTGTCTCCAGTGTGGTGTGTGACTTTGTTGATAGTTGACATACTAGTGATGTAACTCCTAGCATCACAGCAACAGGCACAACAACAAACCGACAGACTAGCAGATGTTGTTGTTTTTAGGTGCCTTTGAGGTGAGTACGACTCACAGCAATCGTATGAAAACCAGATCTGAACCCTGTCCTACCCATCTGGCACCATCCTTATCTCTGGCACGTGAGCCCACTGCTGCAGCCATTGTTCCAGGTATGACATCCCTCTCCAAAAAACATCCTCTCCTAGAACACGCCGTAAGTGTGTGAGATGAAGCTCATCATCCTTGCCTCCAAGGAACACTTTGGCTGCACTCTCCTGAAGACTTATCTATTTGGTCTTTTGAAAGTCCATGAAACATTCAGTTGGTGTTAATTATTGTATATATGTTGTTACGTGTCATCGAGTCGCCTGCGACTCATAGCGACCCTATGTACAACAGCCCTAAATCTTGCTCTATCCTGTGCCAATCCTATTGTTTCTGACACATCTACCCTTATTACCCCAGACACTGAATCAATCCATCTCATCGAGGGTCTTCCTCTCCTGCACTTACCCTTCACCCTCTCAAGCACGACATCTCTCTCTAAGGTCTGGTCTTGCCTTGTAACAGGTCCACAATATGTCAGATGAAGCTTCAGAATTCTTGCTTCCAAGGAGCAGCCTGGTCTCAGCCTCTCTAGAACGAACCTCTTTGTTCTCTTAGCAGTCCATGGTATATTAAATACTCTTCTCCAGCACCACAGCTCAAAAGCATCAATTCTCCTTCTATCATCCCTAGTCATTGTCCAGCTTTCTGATGCATAGCAACTAATTGCAAAGACTATGGCCTGGATCAGGCGCACCTTAGTCTCCAGACTGACATTGTCACTCTTCAGTACTCTGGAGAGGTCTCTGACAGCAGACTT